GATGGGGGGGACCTAGAGGACTGGCCAAGCAAGCCCCAGACCACCCTGGTTGTGACCCGTAGCCAGAGCCGGCGAGGGGCACTGCACCCCGACCTTGGGGAGGGTACCACACCGGAGGCGCAGGACCCTACCCTGGTGGGAAGGGAGGGCCGAGGGGCACGGCTCAGAGAGGCTGAGGCCTCAGACCTGGCCACTGAGGGGGAACCGGTCCCCATCCCTTCCCCAGCCGCTGAGTTCCAGGCCGAGTTGAGGAAAGATCCCTCCTTGCGGAAGCTCAGGGACCTGGCCGACCTCGGTGTGGGACGGACCATGAGGAGAGGCTGCCAGGAGAGGTTCCTGTGGGAGAAGGGGTTCCTGTACCGAGAATGGGCTCCCACAAGGGAAGTGGAGTCCTGTGGGATCAGGAGGCAGCTGGTGGTCCCCCAGAAGTATCGCCGCAGGCTCCTGTACCTGGCCCATGACATCCCCCTCGCAGGGCACCAGGGAATCTGGCGCCCCCGGCAGAGGTTGCTACAGAACTTTTACTGGCCCGGGGTCTTTACCACGGTCCGGCAGTATTGCCGATCCTGTGACCCCTGTCAGAGGGTGGGGAAGGCCCGGAACAAGGGGAAAGCAGCTTTGAGACCTTTGCCCATCATAGAGGAGCCTTTCCAGAAGGTGGCCATGGACATCGTGGGGCCTCTCAGCAAGATGACCCGGTCGGGGAAGAAAAACATTCTGGTGGTGGTAATTTTGCCACCCGCTACCCCGAGGCAGTGCCCTTAGCTTCCATCGAAGCAGACACCGTGGCCGATGCGCTCCTGACCATTTTCAGCCGAGTGGGGTTCCCCAAGGAAGTCTTGACAGACCAAGGCTCCAACTTCATGTCGGCCCTGCTCCGGTGCTTGTGGGAGAAATGTGGGGTCCGGCACGACTGGGCCTCAGCTTATCACTCCCAGTCCAATGGGCTGGTGGAGAGGTTCAATGGGACGCTAAAGATGATGCTGAAAACCTTTATGAACCAGCACCCGCAGGACTGGGACAAGTACTTACCTCACCTGCTGTTCGCGTACAGGGAGGTGCCCCAGGAGTCTACCGGATTTTCGTCTTTCGAACTGTTATATGGCAGGAGGGTGAGGGGCCCCCTTGACCTGATGAGAGACGAGTGGGAAGGGAAGGCCACTCCCGATGGAGAGTCAGTGGTGGAGTATGTCCTGATCTTCCGAGAGAGACTGGCTGAACTCATGGGCCTGGCCAGGGAGAATCTGGCCAGAGCCCAGAAGAAGCAGAAGGTCTGGTATGACCGCACGGCAAGGGCCCGTGCCTACGCCACCGGGGATCCGGTGATAGTTCTCATCCCAGTGAGAAAGAACAAACTACAGGCCGCCTGGGAGGGCCCTTTCAAGGTTGTCAAGCAGCTCAATGAGGTAAACTATGTGGTGGAGCCGTCAAACCGGGCGCACCACCGCCGGGTGTACCATGTGAATATGATGAAGCCATATTATGCCAGGGGGAATGTGGTGTTGGCTGTGTGTGGACAGTGGGAGGAGCAGGGAGATGGCCCTTTAGTAGATCTATTCCCTGGGACCGGAGCTGGTTCCCCCCTGGACACAATTCCCCTCTCGGATCAGCTAACCCCTGCCCAGCAAGCTGAGGTCAGGGGGGTGCTGCATCCGTACCGACAGCTGTTTTCCAACCAGCCTGGACGCACTAATCTGACTGTCCACCGGGTGCAGACAGGGTCGCACCCGCCGATAAGATGCTCCCCCTTCCGAGTCACAGGGAAAACTGCCCAGGACCTGGAAAGAGAGGTCCGGGACATGCTGGCTTTGGGGGTGATCCAGCCATCTGCCAGCCCTTGGGCCTCGCCGGTGGTGCTGGTCCCCAAAAAGGACGGGTCGGTCCGGTTCTGTGTGGACTATCGGAAGCTCAATGCCATCACTGTATCTGATGCCTACCCCATGCCCAGGCCGGACGAACTCCTAGACAAGCTGGGAGGAGCTCGGTACCTTACCACCATGGACCTTACAAAGGGCTACTGGCAAGTGCCGCTGGATGCAGATGCCCGGCTGAAATCGGCCTTTATCACCCCTCTGGGGCTCTATGAGTTCCTGACCCTGCCTGTCGGCCTCAAGGGAGCGCCGGCCACCTTCCAGCGCCTAGTGGACCAGCTTGTTAATGCAGGAGGATGAAAAGGGGGAGAGACGCCCCATCTCCCCTGACCTGGCTGCACCAGATGAAAGGAGCCAACGCCAAACTCCTGAGATGGAGCCTGCTCCTGCAGGATTACGACATGGACGTGGTCCACGTGAAGGGAAGTGCCAACCTGATAGCGGACGCGCTGTCCCGGAGAGGGGGCCCCGAACTTCCCCAGGTCACTGGTCACAGTGACCCCGCTCAGTTCAGTCTCGAAGGGGGGAGAGATGTGATGCAGCAGGGAGGGGGGAGTGTTGACCTGGGAATGCGGCAGGGGGGTTTCACTGGGGATGGGAGACCTGAGAGCCTGTCACCTGAGCTGGGAGGGGGAGGGGGAGGTGACACCTCTGCCCAGGAAGTGAAGACAGGCTGCAAGAGGGAGCCTGCTGGGGGGTTTAGTTTCAGTTTGGTGCTGGGTGGGGGAACACAGGGAACCCCAGGGCTGGGGTCTGAGCTCCCTGCCCCCCCCAGAAGGACTGGACTGAGGGGTCCTGGTTGTACCCACAAGCTCTGTTTTAGACTGTGTTCCTATTGTCCAATAAACCTTCCGCTTTACTGGCTGGCTGAGAGTCATGGTGAATCCCAGGAAGAGGGGTGCAGGCCCCGGACTCCCCCACACTCCGTGACAGCCACCGCCGCAGTGCATGTTCCTGCAGGATGGAGGGACCCAGGGCAGCTGCTGGACTCCAACTGCCCTGGCTTGTGGGGGAAAGGGGGGGTTTCTATCTCTGCCCTCCCATGCCCCCCACCCCCCACTTTGCTCCCCCAGTGCTGGCCTGCCCCACATGAGCTCAGGGTAGCAGCAGCAGCAGCTCGGATCTGGCTCAAGGTGACACCACAGGACCCACGGCAGGGGAAGCGCTCCACCTGGGCTCTGGCAGGGGCATTTAAACCCAGGGGCTTGAGCCTGGCCTGGCCTCTCCCCCACCCCCTGCGACTGGCAGCACCCCCGCCCGCCCCCAGCAGAACCCACCTGGTGCTCCGGATGGGGCGGGAGCTTCCCACGATTGGACCTGCTGGCCCCACGTGCTGGCCTGCCGAGGCAGTGGGCTGGGCCCCAGGAGACTGGAGCCAGCTCCCAGTTGGAGCTTGGCCAAGGCACTTTGGTCTCATCTGCACGTAAAAGTTGTGCCATTTACCTGCCCTGGCGCAGCAAGCCCCCGCTGTGGATGCACCTGCCCCAGGAGCTGGTGAAGTGAGGCAGGGCCCCTTTGCCCCAGGGCTGCTCTGACCGTTTGCCAGCGAGTGGGGTGGGTTTTTCACTGCCCCAGCAAGGCCGGCACGAGCCCTAGTGTAGACGCAGTTCAGTCACCAGAGCTGGGCCTGCAGCAGCAGGGCTGAGAGCAGCTGGGGAACCTGCCCGAGCTACGTGGACACACCCGCGGCTCTAGCCGGCCCCCGCCGAGGGGTTCGCTGGTTCGAGCAGACTGCCCGAACCCAGGGCTGGCACCCACATTCCCACGGCAGGGAAACCCCACAGCCCACACCACCACTGCTCTACCCAGGAAACGGAGCAGGGACCAGACCTCAACAGCACCGGGACCCATCTGTCCAGCGCAGCTCACGAGCCTGTCAGCACCCCGTGCCGGGCCCGTTTCTCCCCGTGCCTGTCTGTTCTCGGGACACATGGGTGGAGTTTCCATTTACCCACCACCACCTGGCACCCGCTCTACCCACTGCTGCCCCCCGAGAGCACAGCCTTGCCCCCAGGTGCCATCCAAACTTCGTGCCGCTACAAAACATCCATCCTGTCCCACCACGATGCTCCGGCTCGTATGGGGGCCCAGCAGGCGGGGGGGCCGAGGCTGCGTGGCTGAAGGCCAAGCTGGAGGATGCAGGGGGGTTGCGGGAAGGGGAATGGGGTGAATCCAGCAAGGGGGGTGACTGGGCTAGAGCAGTGTGAATGGCAGAATCTGTAGCCCCATCCCCGGGGCTCAGGATCACACAGTCAACATGCAGCCGAGCTGGGGGCAGAACCCAGGAGTCCTGCACCAGGGGCCAGCTGCCAGGTCCTGTGCTCCAGAGGCAGGCGGCACCCCATCCCCCCACCGGCCCAGGGAGGGGGCGAGGATTCAGTGCCTGCCCCCACTTCTTTCAAATCAGAGTGTGGAACGGGCACAGTCCGCCTCCCCCGGCCAGGATTAGAGCTAATGGGATTTACCATTTCAGCCAATATCCCCTTGAATACAGGACCGGGGGCGGGGTGGAGAGCTTCTCTCTGGCTCCAGATCTCCCTGCCCCAGAAGCACCATGGCTCCCCTAAGCTGTTTCTAATTAAAGTCAGCCCTAGCCTGTCCATCACCCCTTCCCCAGCCCGCCCAGGAGACCAGGCTTCACTGGCACGGATGGTGGCAGGGGGCGGGGGGTAAGGGCACAGCTCGCACCAGATCCAGGCCACGTACAGCTAGTCCCATCACAGCCAGTCCTTGGAAGTCCCAGCCCCCCCCCCCCCCCCCCCCCCGCTCTAACCCACTAGACCCTACTCCCCTCCCAGAGCACGGGACAGAACCCAGGAGTCCTGGCTCCCAGCCCCCCCACTCTAACCCACTAGACCCCACTCCCCTCCCAGAGCAGGGGACAGAACCCAGGAGTCCTGGCTCCCAGCCCCCCCGCTCTAACCCACTAGACCCCACTCCCCTCCCAGAGCAGGGGACAGAACCCAGGAGTCCTGGCTCCCAGCCCCCCCGCTCTAACCCACTAGACCCCACTCCCCTCCCAGAGCAGGGGACAGAACCCAGGAGTCCTGGCTCCCCCCTGCCTGAAAGAGCAGTTGGGAATCCCAGTTCCGCTGGCAGCCCCAGGAGGGGAAAGAAGCGAGGCAGGGCCAGCGTTACATAAAACATGTTTCATATTCAATGGGGGTACAGGAGTCCGCGTGTATCCAACACTCGAGAGCTGTGGGGGGGCAGGTGGTGCTATACACACGGGCCACGTCCCAGGGCAGAACCACGGGCAACATGTCACACCAAGCACAGACCGGGGGGTGGGGGATATAAATACATGTGCTGGGGAGGAGCTGACAGTATGTCCGCCCGCCCGGGGCGGGGGGGTGGGGGGCGGGATGTTCTCGTTACAATCACTGTGCTGCCCGGGGGGGGGGGGGAGGGGGACACTCAAGGCGCTGGCGTTACTTGCTAATCGCTCCCCCCTGCTGGCTGGTTAGGTGGCTCCCCAAGCTGGGGGGAGTGGGTGAGGCCCAATTTCCCTCCATCTTGGGGAAGAGGGATGGGGGGGGCACATGCATGACTGCGGGGGGGGGAGGGTGCAAAGAAAAAATTAATATACCCCTTGCCAACCAGCCCACCGAGGAACAGCAACTAATTACCCAGCCCAAACTGAGCTAACGGGCTCCCACCACTCGCCCCTGGGGGACAGGATCCCCAGGGCTACCATCCTTCTGCTATGGGCAAGTCCTGGGGGGCAGCGGTCCCTGATGTGTCTCCCCTAAACTCCTGCTCAGCCCAGCAGGCGCCTCTCGGGGTGTCCCCACAGCAAGCAGTCGTGATAATGGGAGTGACCCCCCCTGCTGCAGAGGCGGGGGGGGGCTGCTGCAGGGGGAGGAATCCTGCCTCTTGAAGTGACATGATTTGGTGTCGGGGGGGGGGGGGGGGGGGGATACCCAGGCCCCTGCAGCAGGGCCCTGCTGAGCTTCGTTTTGCTCCGGGGTGACCTCGGCGGGGGGGGGTGTGTGTGGTCATTTAGCAGCTGTGGGTGCCTTTGTGCACTGCCCCAGTGGAGACGCAGGGAAGCTGGGGCCGGATAAGGGGCCGGCAGCTTCTGAAACCCTGGGGAGGGGGGTGGGGCGCGAGGCTGAGTGGCAATTTCCACCCTGGTCCCGATTCTGCCACTGAATCCACACACCCCCGCCCCTGGCCCGGCCCCCCCTTGGGAGCGTTCACCACCCTTGCACAGAGACTACACTGGCCAGTCCCCCACCAGCTCTGCCAGCCCCCCTTGTGTCTGTACAGTGTGGTGCGGGGGGAGGGCAGGGAATGTGTTGGGGGGAGTGGCAGGGGGTTTTCAGGGCACATGCAGCAGGGAGGCTGGGGGAAGGGCCACGTTGCCAGCAGGGGGCGCTGCCCTAGCAAGTGATTCTAAATCCCCCCCCCATGAAAGATGGAAAGTGATGAGACCCAGAACCGACTCCCCCAGCTGCCCCCCTCCCCCTGCAGTGCCCCCCCCACAGCACAGACCAGGCAGCCCCCCCACACAGAAGCTTAAAGCTGCCTTGAGGAATTCACCTCCGTGTTTAGACTCACGTCACAGGGCACCAAGAACAACATAAAAACAACACAAAAGAAAGGCCACTGCCACACGCAGGTCCGTCCGTGTGCCCCCCCGCCCCCCCCCAGCCCTGGGCAGCAGGGGGCCTGCCCCAGCATGGAAGCAGATGCCCCCCGCCCCCCTATATATTTATATATCTATATATTCATCACACACACACAGAGATCCGTGCAAACCTCGGGGGCGGGGGGGACCAGAACTGAGACCCCAGATCAAACCCACAGCAACCGGTGCCGGAACGAAAGCAAAACCCAACGAGCTGGGGAGGGGGGAAGAGACCCACGCAGCCCCGCGCGGGCAGCCGACGGGTCCTGCCAGCCTGCGAGGGGGTGGGAGAGGGGCGGCTCTCGCTCACTTCTTGTTCTTCAGCTGGTTGGCCAGCCAGTCCAGGCCCTCGTAGAGCCCGTCCCCGCTGGTGGCGCACGTGGCCTGGATGTACCAGTTGCGATGACGCAGGGAGTGCAAGCCCAGCTTGTCCGTGATCTCCGCCGCGTTCATGGCGTTGGGCAGGTCCTGGGGGGCAGAGGGGGGCGGGGGGGTTACCAGCCTGCCTGACCAGACACCACGGCGACAGGCACGTCGCCCGCAGAGAACTCCGTGCCAGGGCGGCCATGGCTGGAGGGGCCCTGGGGGTGGACGGCACCCACCTGCTTGTTGGCGAAGACGAGGAGCACGGCGTCCCGCAGCTCGTCCTCGGCCAGCATCCGCATCAGCTCCTCACGCGCCTCGTTCACCCGCTCCCGGTCGTTGCTGTCCACCACAAAGATCAGCCCTGGGGGGCGGAGGGAGGGCACTGACACCAGGCACCGGGGGGAGGGTTTTGCAACTCACAGACCCACAGTTAGGAAGCCCCACCCGTTCCGGGGCTGTGCATGACAGAGTGCGCCCCCAAATCTCTTCCTGGGGGGGTGACAGTGCACCCCCAGACTCCTCCTCACCACCCCATCTTGGAGGGGATGACAGGGTGCACCCCCAAACCCCACCTCACCACCCCACCCCACCTTGGGGGGTGACCATGCATCCCCAGACCCCTCCTCACCACCCCACCCCTCTAATGGGAGGTTGAACAATTCTCTTCCCCCCACCCACTCAAACCCATGGCGGGGGCTGTGGGGGCAGAAGAGAAACAGAAACCCTCTAACCCCCCCCCCACACACACACATATACTCAGACAGCCCTAGACTATCGCTGGACAGGGGAGGGAAGGGCCCCCAGGGAGGGGCACAGAACAGGCCGGGCTCAGGACCTAGGGGGCAGGGGAGGGGACGGAGGGGGGCGGGGGGCCCCGTACCCTGGGTGTTCTGGAAGTAGTGCCGCCAGAGCGGCCGGATCTTGTCCTGGCCGCCCACGTCCCACACGGTGAAGCTGATGTTCTTGTACTCGACAGTCTCCACGTTGAACCCTGCGGGGGGGGGGAGGTTAGCCACAGATGTGGGGGGCAGCCAGCCCTGCCCCCAGTGGGGGCTCCGCCCTCTTTGCCTCGGGCACGTTTGCCAGCGAGGGGCACTGCTCAGTGACAGCCACCGCAGGGTCTCCAGGCACTGGAGTGAGACCCAGCAAACTCATCTCACACAGAAGCCTCTCAACGGGCAAAAAAGAAACTGAGGCATGGAGGGGGGCAGGGCAGGTTTAGACGGGGAAATTGAGGCACAGAGGTCAGTAACTTGCCTCCAAATTCAGACAGCAGCAAAGCTGGGCAAAGAACCCAGGCATCCTGGCTCCCAGCCCCCCCCCACTCTAACCACTAGACCCCACTCCCCTCCCAGAGCTGCAGACAGGACCCAGGAGCCAAACAACCCTAGCAACCTGCCAGGGCCCATGCCTGTTATGGGTCAGCTGGTCCTTTCCTCCTGCCTCCCCAGGCCAGTATATGGGGCTGTGTGCTCACCGGACCACGCCCGTCACACGGGAGTCCCTGTCCCCATGGCAGGGCCGGCTGATGGGAGCCCCTGGGGGCCGTGGCCTGGCTCCCGGCCCTACCTATGGTGGGGATAGTGGTGACGATCTCGCCCAGCTTCAGCTTGTAGAGGATGGTGGTCTTCCCGGCCGCGTCCAGCCCCACCATCAGGATGCGCATCTCCTTCTTGCCGATCAGGCTCTTCAGCAGGTTGCCGAAGATGTTGCCCATGGTGGTGGTGGGGGCGCGGTGCAGGGGCTCCCGGGGCCGGCTTGCTCGCGGTGCGTTCCTGGCGTCGAGGCCGGTTCCTGGGCGGCGGGAAGGGCAAAGCCGGCCGGCATCAGGTGCCTGCGGAGACGGCAGCTCCCAGCGGGCCCGGATGCAGGGGGGCGTACACCCCAGGAGCTCTGCTCCATGGCGGGGATAGGTCGGGCAGGGCGTTCGGTGGCTCATGCCCCGAGTCCCGGCTCGATGCCCGGCCAGCCCACTCCTGATCCCCAGGTGCTCAGCAGCCACGCCCCGCAGTGACTGTGAGAGGCCCTGCTGGCCCACTGGCTTCAGGCTACCCCAGCCCAGCCCCACAGCCGGGGGGACAGGGGAGACTCACAGGCAATCGGTGAGGAGGACAGCGCCACAGGCTGGCTTTGTGCGCCCCACAAGGGACCTTTCTCCCTGCGTCACAATACTGAAAGGCAGAGCCGGGGGGCAGCCGTGCCAGGCCGTGCCCAGCACCCACCAGGGCCAGCTGACTCGGTGGCCCTCGCTCCCCGGCCATGGAGTGTCGGCCCCCAAGGCACTGACAGCAGGGTCACGGCAGTGCTGCCAGTGAGGGCCAGGAGTGGCACATGCAGGGCGGGGGGGGGGGGGGTGTTCACTGTGGGGGGGTCCATCACACAGGGGGTGCAGGGGCAGCCCCCGCTCCTAACACTGCATGCTAGCCAATCAAAACAGGCCTTCCCCTAGCACCTGCCAACCGCAGCCCCCAGGAGGTGGGTCCAGACCAGCCTTAACACAGATGTAACACAGATGGGGAAACTGAGGCACTGAGCCAGGGACTTGCCCAAGGCCACGGAGTGAACAGAAGAATTCCCAGCCTCCAGCTAACACTCCCCGCCAAAGCTGGGAATAGAACCCAGGAGTCCTGGCTCCCAGCCCCCGCAGCCACCCCCCCCCGCCCGCCCCTCACATGGTACCTGTGCAGGGGAACGGGGCACCGGCACCTCTCACCCTTCCATGTCCCTCTTGTTGGTGTTTTAGGCCATTCCCTGCCCTTGGGGTATCAGCAGCCCCTGCCCACCGTGCCTCCCTCTGGCTCCCTCGAATCCCAGCGCCCCTTTGCCAGGGCCTGATCCTGCCCCTCTACAGCATCTCCAGCCAGCACACGGCACCGCCAGGGCCCCCCTCAGACCCACAAGCCCAGGAGCCCCACATTAAGGCAGGCCCCGGGCCCCCCAGGGCTGAGACCCACCCACCCAAAATGACTAATAATGAAGCATGACACAGTTCCCTGCCTTCCACCCCGACACGTCACAAGTGATAATGGGGGGAGGACCCCGCCCAGGAAACCCACAGGGGGTTCACTCGCTGGTCAGCATGGGGGCAAGACCCCAGGCCCCTTGCCCCCCCCGGTCCCGCTGCATGCCCCCCCCGGGAAAGAAGGGCCCCTGGGGGAAAGGTAGCCCCCAAGCTCAGGGGGGACAGTGCTCAGAGAACAGGGCCGTGCCCACAATTTGGAAGGGCCCAGCCCCCCACATGGGGCTCTCAGCCCCTTCCACTATTGGGGTCTGCAAATAGGACCCCAAAAGCAGCCTTCCACAGCAGCAGGGGGAGCAAAGCCAGCTGCCCCCGTCGGGATGCTGGCAGGCCCCAGCTAGTCTCCCCGAGGGGCACGCCCCCCCCCCAGACACTCCATTCTGGAGGGGGTCCCGGGGGGGGAAGGGATGCCTGGGTCCAGCCCCTCTGCTGGGTCTGAGACACCCCCGCTCCCAGGGCTCCCCACACTCAGTGACACGGGCGGGTCAGCTGCCTGCCCCCCCAGGTAACAGGCCCCACTGCAGCATGTGCACCCCCAGATGGCCTGCACCCAACCCCCCACCCTGCCAGGGGGCAGGCTTGCTCCCCCCATACCCCCTCCGGGTACGGGCCCCATTGCATGCCCCACTCCCCCCCCAAAGGGCAGGCTTGCTCCCCCCCATGCACCCCACTGAGCGTGCCCCCCCTTGGGGACGGGCCCCATTGCATGCCTTGCTGCCCCCCCAGGGGGCAGGCTTCTCCCCCCATGCACCCCACTGAGCGTGCCCCCCCTTGGGGACCGGCCCCATTGCATGCCCCACTCCCCCCCCAGGGGGCAGGCTTGCTCCCCCCCATGCACCCCACTGAGCGTGCCCCCCCTTGGGGACGGGCCCCATTGCATGCCTTGCTGCCCCCCCAGGGGGCAGGCTTGCTCCCCCCCATGCACCCCACTGAGCGTGCCCCCCCCAGGCCCCTGCACCCCGCACCTACCTGCTCCGGCTCCGGCTCCGGCTCGCGCTCTTCCTCCCGCCCCCTCCCCAGCTGACTCTGCACCGACCCCCCTCCCCCCCGGCCGGAAGCAGCAGGCCCTGTGCACGCACCCCGCGATCTCGCGAGAGCTGTCGCCTAGCCCTGGGGAGAGGGGGGGCAGCAAACCTCGCGAGATCAGCCACCCATCCCCATGGCAACCGCTGCAGCAGTGCAGGGGGGGTGCTGCACGAGTGGGGGAGGGGAAGTGCATGGGGGGGGCTGAGCATTGTGGGCCTTGTGCGTGCCTGGGGGCGCTGGGTGGGGCTGTGCCCCGGGGGGTGGAGCGGGGGGGGTCACAGCAGCGTGGGAGTGGGGCGCGGGGGGGCTGGAGCGTGAATAGGGAGGCTGAGATTCATGACGGCCAGGTGCCACCGGGCGTGTGCGCGGGGGGGCCGTGGTGCACTAGCGGGGGCGTGCAGGGGGGTGGTTTTGGTGCCGGGGGGGCCGTGGTGCACTAGTGGGGGCGTGCATGGGGGGGCCGTGGTGCATTAGCAGGGGAGATGTGCACGGGGGGGGCCGTGGTGCATTAGCTGGGGTGATGTGCACGGGGGGGCCGTGGTGCACTAGCGGGGGCGTGCACCGGGGGGGCCGTGGTGCACTAGCGGGGGCGTGCACCGGGGGGGCGTGGTGTACTAGCGGGGGCGTGCATTGGGGGGCCGTGGTGCACTAGCGGGGGTGACGTGCACGGAGGGGCCGTGGTGCATTAGCGGGGGTGACGTGCACGGGGGGGCCGTGGTGCACTAGCGGGGGCGTGCATGGGGGGGCCGTGGTGCATTAGCAGGGGAGATGTGCACGGGGGGGCCGTGGTGCATTAGCTGGGGTGATGTGCACGGGGGGCCGTGGTGCACTAGCGGGGGCGTGAACGGGGGGGCCGTGGTGCACTAGCGGGGGTGACGTGCGCGGAGGGCCGTGGTGCACTAGCGGGTTGACGTGCACGGGGGGGCCGTGGTGCATTAGCGGGGGTGACGTGCACGGGGGGCCGTGGTGCACTAGCGGGGGCGTGCATGGGGGGGCCGTGGTGCATTAGCAGGGGAGATGTGAACGGGGGGCCGTGGTGCATTAGCAGGGGTGATGTGCACGGGGGGCCGTGGTGCACTAGCGGGGGCGTGCACGGGGGGGCCGCGGTGCACTAGCGGGGGACGTGCACGGGGGGCTGTGGTGCACTAGCGGGGGCGTGCACGGGGGCCCACGGTGCACTAGCGGGGGTGACGTGCACGGGGGGGCCGTGGTGCACTAGCGGGGGTGACGTGCACGGGGGCCGCGGTGCACTAGCGGGGGGTGACGTGCGCGGGGGGCCGTGGTGCACTAGCGGGGGTGACGTGCATGGGGGGCGCGTGGTGCATGGGGGGGCCGTAGTGCAATAGCAGGGGAGACATGAAGGGGGGGCCGTGGTGCATTAGCTGGGGTGACGTGCACGGGGGGGCGTGGTGCATTAGCGGGGCGTGCACGGGGGTCCGTGGTGCACTAGCGGGGGTGACGTGCACGGGGGGCCGTGGTGCAAGCGGGGGTGACGTGCACGGGGGCCGTGGTGCACTAAGGGGGGTGACATGCACGGGGTGGGCCGTGGTGCATTAGCGGGGGTGACGTGCACGGGGTGGGCCGTGGTGCATTAGCGGGGCTGATGTGCACGGGGGGGCCATCGTGCATTAGCAGGGGTGACGTGCACGGGGGGGCCGTGGTGCATTAGCTGGGGTGACGTGCATGGGGGGACGGGGGCGTACACGGGGGGGCCGTGGTGCACTAGCGGGGGCGTGCACGGGGGGGCCGCGGTGCACTAGCGGGGGTGACGTGCGCGGGGGGGCCGTGGTGCACTAGCGGGGGTGACGTGCGCGGGGGGGCGTGGTGCACTAGCGGGGGTGACGTGCGCGGGGGGGCCATGGTGCACTAGTGGGGGCGTGCATGGGGGGCCGTGGTGCATTAGCAGGGGTGATGTGCACGGGGGGGCCGTGGTGCACTAGCGGGGGCGTGCATGGGTGGGCCGTGGTGCATTAGCAGGGGAGACGTGCACGGGGGGGGCCGTGGTGCATTAGCTGGGGTGACGTGCACGGGGGGGGCGTGGTGCATTAGCGGGGGCATGCACAGGGGGTCCGTGGTGCACTAGCGGGGGTGACGTGCACGGGGGAGCCGTGGTGCATTAGCGGGGGTGACGTGCACGGGGGGCCGTGGTGCACTAGCGGGGGTGACGTGCACGGGGGGCCGTGGTGCATTAGCGGGGTGACGTGCACGGGGGGCCGTGGTGCACTAGCGGGGGTGACGTGCACGGGGTGGGGCCGTGGTGCACTAGCGGGGGTGACGTGCACGGGGTGGGCCATGGTGCATTAGCGGGGCTGATGTGCACGGGGGGGCCATCGTGCATTAGCGGGGGTGACGTGCACGGGGGGGCGGGGGCGTGCACGGGGGGCCGCGGTGCACTAGCGGGGGTGACGTGCGCGGGGGGGCCGTGGTGCACTAGCGGGGGTGACGTGCACGGGGGGGGCGTGGTGCACTAGTGGGGGCGTGCATGGGGGGGCCGTGGTGCATTAGCAGGGGAGATGTGCACGGGGGGGCCATGGTGCACTAGCGGGGGCGTGCATGGGTGGGCCGTGGTGCATTAGCAGGGGAGACGTGCACGGGGGGGGCCGTGGTGCATTAGCTGGGGTGACGTGCACGGGGGGGCCGTGGTGCACTAGCGGGGGTGACGTACACGGGGTGGGCCGTGGTGCATTAGCGGGGCTGATGTGCACGGGGGGGGCCATCGTGCATTAGCGGGTGTGATGTGCATGGGGGGGCCGTGGTGCATTAGCTGGGGTGACGTGCACGGGGGGGGTGGGGGCGTGCACGGGGGGGCCATGGTGCATTAGCGGGGCTGATGTGCACGGGGGGGCCGTGGTGCATTAGCGGGACTGATGTGCACGGGGGGGCCATGGTGCACTAGCAGGCTTCCCCCAGCCAGCTTCCCCCTCCACCCCCCTGAGGGTGGGGCTGGGAGCCAGGACTCCTGGGTTCTATCCTGGCTCTGCCATGGGCGGATCTGCTGCATCTCAGTGGGAGCTGGGTAAATCTCCCCTGTTCAGCGGCCTGGCCCTGCGCCCCGCTGGGATTTGGGTGGTGGGGAGCTGCCTGTGCCGCTCTTCTCCAGCAGGTGGCGCACTGCGCCTTGCAGTGAGGACCCACGTGGTAGGAGGGGGTTGAACATGAACTTAGCCCTGGGAGCTGGGCCTGTCCACACTTGCCCCGTGGGCAGCCGGGCTGGGCACCCCCCGGCCGGGCGCCAGGATTCTTTCAGTGCAGTTGGGTACACTTCAACCGCAGCCCGGGAGTCGGGGCTCCCGGGTTCCTTCCTCCCCAAGGCACTGCACACAGAGCCCCCCACTGCACACAGAGCCCCCCCGCGCCGCCTCACTGCACACAGAGCCCTCCACTGCATACAGAGCCCCCCGCGCCACCTCACTGCACACAGAGCCCCCCAGCTCCCCCCTCACTGCACACAGAGCCCCCCACTGCACACAGAGCCCCCTGCACCCCCTCACTGCACACAGAGCCCCCCACTGCACACAGAGCCCCCCTGCACCCCCTCACTGCACACAGAGCCCCCCCGCGCCGCCTCACTGCACACAGAGCCCCCCCGCGCCGCCTCACTGCACACAGAGCCCCCCGGCGCCTCACTCACTGCTCATGGTACACACACAGAGACCCCTGTGCACACACAGCCCCGCACTCTGTACAATCCCCCGCCCGCTGTGGCTGGAGGCTGGGCTGGCTGCGGGGCAGGCTGAGGGCAGGGCAGGGCCTGTGTGTTTGCAGCGTGAGTCAGAGCCTGCGGCTCGCAGGGAGCCTCCCACCTCAGCTGTTAGCAGAGCAGGATGCTGGCAAGCGGGGCCTCCCCAGGGCAGGCGCAGCCCCACCCGCCACATTGAAGCCCTTCAGCCCTGCCCTGGGGGGGTAGCAGGGAGGGGAGCATGGGAAGACGCCCTGGCAGCATGGGCCGAGCCCCCCGAACCTCACTGCACGTGGGGATCCAGCCCCATGTTGGGGCGCGGGTGCGGGGAGGCTGTTCCCAGCCTCTCTGGGCTTCCACATTCAGTGATCCGCTGGTCCCATAGCCAACGCTGTCTCCCACACCCTCCTGCCCGACTTACCTGCCCCTGGAATCCCAGCACACTTTCTACTGGGGTCTCATTGAGGGCCCCTGGCTCGGTGTCCTGGATCCCAGGATGACCCATCTAGCCTGGTCCCCATCACCCACGGCTGCAGAGGAAATGCACGAACCCCATGGTGGCCAGCCCTGGAATGAGTGGCCCAGGGGGGAGGCCCCTGCCCCGTCAGGTTGGGGCTGCCTCATTCCCCAGGAGGGAGGGCGCCTGACCCCGCCCAGCTCTCCTCCCCTCTGATGCCCTGTGGCTGAGAGTCCCACAGGCCAACCGCCTGCCATGCAAAGGGCATTCAGCTGAGTCGGGTTTACACTGCTGCCCTTCAGTCCTGCCAAAGGCCCCCGGGGGGGACAGGAGGGTGTGCAGGGTTTCCCCTTCAGAAGTGTGACGAAGTGGGACTGTTCTTAATGTTTCCTCTGAATAGTGTGGGGGTGCCTCCGTTTCCCCTAGGCAGTTCTTAAGTATCTTGGGGGTGGAGTAAGGGTGTATGATCATTGCAGAGCCCTAGAGGGCAGGTGTGTGCAGGAGTCTGGACACAGAGAATGGCCAACACCCTGTTTCCTGGCAACTGATGGCCTGGGCCCTTCCCCCCCTTGCAAGGTGAGAGCTGAAGGGTTGGAGAACAAAGGAATCAGGTGACCTCCTGGCCCGGGAAAGGAACAAAGCCCAGAGCAGGGGGGGGCTGGAGGGGGTTTTCAGTTTGGGGCTGGCTGGGACATGGAGTGAAGTGCAGACGTGGTTGTCTGGCTCACTGCCCCCCAAAATGGACCCAGCTGAGGGGTCCCGTTCTCTGCACCTGCAAGCTCTGTTTTAGACCATGTTCCTGTCGTCTAATAAACCTTCTGTTTTACTGGCTGGCTGAGAGTCCCGTCTGACTGCGAAGTTGGGGTGCAGGACCCTCTGGCTTCCCCAGGAGCCCTGCCTGAGCGGACTCGCTGGGGGAAGCGC